CCTGCAGCCTAGTGGTTACCGCTGAAGAAAAAAATAAGGTATTCAGCTTGCTTGGACATTTAGCAAAAATATCCATGTGACATCCTGCTACTTGTAGTCAAAACACTAGAGTAAAATCTGTCTGATGGTTTCATTACCAAACAGGAATTTTTACCTGCCAAAACCCATGGTGATATGCTACTGAGGTGAAGTACTGAAATACTGTCATTAAAGGTCTTATAAGGTTTTACATGGCTTTTATTTTCTTAATTAGTCCTGAAAGGACACTAGTCACTGTACCAGTTGTTTACTGAAGACTGTTGATGAACATGAAAAACAAAGTGAAAGCTTCTCTATACAGCTGTAAGCTTTATAACAACAAGCTACACAGTTGCTGTAGCAGCAGTAACTTAAGTGACTTGACCATAGATCTTTAGCAGCTTGGTGAAATACCCTTCCTACATATTCACTAGCAAACGAGCGTTTTCAGAAAATGTTTCTTATTTTACTTTGGGAGTAATGTTTTGAAACCCTAGAAAGAATGTTCTGGTGCCTACAGAAAGGACTCTGAGGGCTCCCCAGCAAACCTTTCTCTGCCCACTGGGACACCTGAAGTTCTTGAGCAGGTCTTTGCTCTTCATGGAAACAAAGTGCTCTGAAATGGTAGTCACCCCAGACTACTTAAGATGGCAACAGAGATCTCTGAACCCCTTAGCAATCGTTTGATAACTGCCACAAGTGGAAGTGCCCTGAGAAGGGAAGAAGGCGGAAAAATGGACCCAAAATTAAAAACCAAGTGGGATAACTGAAAATATTGGAACAAACTCCGGAATGTCTTAAAATGGTAAGAAGAAAATTGCGAGCAGCTGGCATGGTTTTGTCAAAATCAGGAACATTTTAAACAGTCCCACAGTAGTGTCTTATGCTCAGATCTAGTCAACGCTTCCAGTAATGACTTGGTAGACTGAGATGTACAGATGACAATAGCTTGTATGCACAGGAAACAGTAAGAATTCAAGAAGATAGTAAGAGATATCTTCTCAAGTCAAGAAGCTTTCTTTCAACAGCTGATTAATAAGTCAAACTGCACAAAAGACAAAGAATAATTCATTAAAGAGGAAAGGATTTGGCGAGCTATTATGGGTTACAACATGAATAAGAGTTAAGACAATGCTTGGGAGCAGGGAAATTTCACTTCTGTTGTGTACAAGGTAGAAGTAAGCCTCAGCAGGAGTACTCCATCCAGTCTCAGGCCCTTTACTTTGAGAAAGAAGTAGGCAGATTAGAGATGCACCAAAGGAAAAATGCTGAAGAAATAAGATAAGCAAGGTTCAACAGACATTCTGGTTCTTTGAGGAGAGAAGGATGAAGAGGGAGGCTGTTATGGAAGAGATGGGAACACTTTTTTTTTTTCCCTTCCTCAGTGGCATAAAGCAGCAAGCAGCCAGCTTAACTTGCAGCAAGATTTCAGCTAGTGCTTGGAGGAAAATTTTAAAAGTTTCTGTGACTTCCAGTTAGGTTCTGCATTGGACTTGCACCATGGATCCCACCAGTGGTGGGATGGTTAATAGTACTGACATTTCTTTGACCAATTAGAAATTCTCAGTTCAGCACTGATAATTAGAATATTTCTATTTGTTGTTGTATGGCTGTAGTCTTTAAAAGATAGTTGTATGTGTTTGGATGTTCTCATCAAACTGATTTGATGTTGAGTTAAAAAGCCAGTCGACCTGGAGAAGTCTGGTTCTACTGCGTCTCTTCCAGACAGATTGTTTGATGCTTGATAAAGGGGCCACTCTTTCTCTTGGGACAGTCATGGAGCTCTATGCAATCAACCACTCTCATTAAACATGTAGAAAATCAATCTCTGCCAAATTTGACCAAAGTTAGATATCTTGGGGAATAGTCAGAAGCATGTTTTAGGCTTGTATAAGCCTTGTCTCCACAGAAAGCAGGCTTAACTGTAAATGGGAGTAAGATCTTTCCCCCCCCCGCCCCAACACATGCAGTAATATAATGAAATTCTTATGTAAAACTGATGTGTTCTATTCCTCTCCACAAAAACATTTTTTTATCAGTTTAGCAGCAAACAAGTACTTGCTGTTGGGGTCAGCTGGGGGGGTCAGCTGGTGGTTCTTGCATAACAGGTCCTGAATATAAAGCTAGAGGCCAGGGCTGGGATGCAGCTGGAACAGGTTTGTGCAGCAGTGAGGAAGGGATATGTAATAGGACTTAGAAATATACAGGGAAGAACGAAGATTTTCTTTTTTTTTTTTTTTTTTAAGAGGACATGCAAGCTTTTCGTGACAGAGGAGGCAACAGGAAAGGGAGAGTCTCTTAGTTATAACACAGAAAGAAGGAACGGATTAGGATGGGCTGGAATGCAGAGCTTTCCTCTTGCAGGAAATGGTACCACTTGAAAAAAATACTGGTTTTTATTTTTAATCAAATAGGTTTTTTTTCTACTGGAAAAACTGTCTCGAACATTTTAAAACTGCTCTAAGAAGAAAATAATGCTGATTAACACTTCAGCTGGATTTTTTTTTTTTTAAATCATAATTTGCTTCCAGGGTAGATGTTAAAGGCGCATATGTACCTACATTTGGCATAAAGTTGAGAGCACAGGGTGTCCAGCCAGGGAAGAACAGGGCCAAGCAAGTGGTACCTCAGCAGGATGTCCTTGGCTTACCCTGTACTGCTGTGGTCTGATGCACCTTGCATCCAAACAAGCTGTAAATGACAGCCAAGGCTAATTACCCAGACAACTCCTGGTACTCAGGCTAGCTTGTTTTACCAAGAGGGTTAATTGCTGCTGAATTCCAATGCTGCACTGCTAATAAACATGGGTAAGAACAGAACAGAAGCCAGATGGATGCCAAAGGAACCGATTCCTGGGTTCCCCCATGTGTGAATCTGACACTGTGTATTAGCAGCAGGGAAAATTGCAGGCTGGCCATTAATATTAAACATAGATACTTTCTTTTATTTTTCCTGCTCTCAAGAACAAAAGTAGGATTAGGCTGTATTTTATTTAATGAGGGGGATGTTGATGTAGACCTCTGCTGTGTCAGTTCACATTTACCTCAGCAAGGAAGACTGCAGCAGGAGCCAGTGAGGCGCAAAATCTCTCTGGAACGTAGCGCGGCAGCAATGCAATTGCACACCCCCCACTCGCACTCGGCCTTCCTGCACAGGCGGGGACAGCCCAGTGGCTCAGAGGAGGTTCTGGAGGTATTGCAGGTCACTGAGCTCCCGGAGCACCTGAACTTTCTACCTAAAATTCAAAGTTGGTAAAGCTGATACTGCAGGGTCCTCCTTCCAACAGTGTACCTGGGTTGAGCATCCAGAACCCATCTTTCAGCAGGTAATTGGGCACATGGGGATTGAAGGCTGCAAGACAGCAGGCAGGGAAGGATCTTTGCCACAGGGTAACTTAAGAACAAGAGTGAAACTATTTGCATTTTAGTAAGTGGTAAAAAGCATCTCTGAGTGCCTGGGACTGCGCGTTTTTTGTTTTTTTTTTTAATTTTATGTGCTGCTAGTACCTTTAGTTAAGAATACAGCCGTTCTGTAATAGGTTAAAGAATTGTGATGGCAGTGCCTGTTACCAAATGGTATGTCATGGGAATGTGGTTCTATTTCATACCTTCTCATCTTTGTGACTTGCAGGAAAATATTTAGGAAGTCTGGAAGTGCAATGAAGTACCAGCAGGAGAATTTCAAAAGCATAACTGATAGGCATGCACCTATTTTCACTGCAGTTTAGTGTAAATAAATACCAGTAAATTCCTTTGCCATGTTAGGAGGAGTTTTGAAAATCTAGGAAGGTAAATAATATTCCTTTCTTCTTCTTCCAACAGTATCTAGCAATACAGATCTCTCCTGACCAGCTGATGTCCTTTGGTGGCTCCACAGACCCCTGTGCTATGTGCTTTCTCTACAGCATTGGCAAGATAGGGGAGCAGGAGAACAAGGTCTACTCCGAATTATTTTGTGACCTGCTTGTGACCTGCTGATCAAACAGTTGAAAATACCATCTGACAGGTGAGCTCATACAGCAACTTGTCTGACATGACTTTCCACAGATCGTTAAAACTATTAATCCCAGACTTGTCCTTTGCTGTTCCTCTGTTAACGTTCTGCTTGAAGAGGCTAAATGTCAGGTCAATAGAGCAACTCTCCAATTGAAAATAGGCAAGGAGCAATTGCATGAGCTGCAATGCCAATTCCAGAAGCTGTAAAACATCTCTTAAGGTGATGGAGGCTCAGGCACTGCACGTACCCACAGGTC